GCACCTGCCAATGGAACAGACACCCAGAGATTGCAGGGATTAATGACAGGCCATAGAGATCTCAAATCACAGAATCATACAATCACAGAATGGCCAGGGTTGGAAGGGATCTCAAGGATCATGAAGCTCCAACCCCCTTGCCACATGCAGGGCCACCAACCTCCCCATTTCACAGCAGCCCAGGCTGCCCAGGGCCCCATCCAAACTGGCCTTGAACACCTCTAGGGATGGATGGGGGCATCCACAGCCTCTCTGGGCAGCTGTTCCAGCACCTCTCCACTCTCTCTGTAAAGGACTTCTCCCTGACACCCAACCTAAAACTTCTCTCTTTCAACTTAAAGCCATTCTCCTTGTCCTGCTGTTATCTATCTTTACAAAGAGTGGACCCCTCTCCTGTTTGTAGGTTCCCTTTAGGTCCTGGAAGGCTGCAACGAGGTCACCCCACAGCCTTTTTTTCTCCAGGCTGAACAAGCCCAGCTGTGTCTTCATAGGGGAGCCTTCTGATCATCCTTGTGGCCCTCCTCTGGACTCTCTCCAACAGCTCCCAAACATGCAACTGCTTACATTGGGTCCAACGTGACACAGCCATACAATGCTTTGTGCAAGATGACTTTGCACTTTCATTTCTGGAGAGGAAGAAAATAATTCTGCCTGCAAGGAATGCTGCTCCAACGTGTCTACGTGCAACTTAAAGCCATCTCCTGCCTAGGCTTTACATTCAGTAAATGTTAAGCTTGATTTTTAAAATAAATTGAAGCACTGCCATAATGGTTTGCCTAAAGCTAGCAATTGCTTTTATATAACTTACAGCTTCACGATCAGCCTCAGTGGAGAACTTGCACATCTGCATATGACTTACAAGGGAGCCTCATAAAGCCTTCCCCAAAAGGCAGTAACTACTCTAAACGTTTCCCCCAGAGGAGGAATTATCTAAAGAAATATTTAAAGGAACAGGGAGATTCAGACTCCCACAGAGAGATAATTTTGTCTATCTATTCAAAGTGAAAAAGAAGATTCGTGACATGGGTTCAGCTGGCAATGCCGCTGCTGCTGACTTGGTCAGTCTTAGCAGAGATGAAGACACCTGCAAAGCTCTTTTTCAGACACCATGTTGCTGAAAACCAGGTGAAACGCAAGGACCAGCATCGCAGGTGGTGTCTCTAAAGCCACGCTTGTCCTCGAATGGGAAAAATCCAACTGATCAGCCAGGCCTACTCCTTAATGGCTTTTTGATCGCTGGAAGCCAGACTGAAAAGACAGCTAATTTGTTTACACTAATAAATAATAACACCCACTTGCTATCAAGGCATGCGCTCATCTCGACTGGTGAGCCATTTAAATGCCACTCACTGCGTCCATTCTTCTTCTTAACACCCAGTAATCTGACAGGGAGAAAACATGCCAAAGCCACCAGCAATGCTTCCTTAGAAAGTCACTAGCAATGACTTTGTGCGTGAGGTAAGCAGTGCTAGCAGTGAAGTAATTAGCTCCAGCAAGCAATTATCCTGCAAACAGCCACACGCTCTGACTTCTGAAGGAGTTTTTTACTTGATTTTCAGCCACTGGAGCTTTGCCAGAAAACCATCAGGCCCGTCATTGACATAATTCTGCTATAAAAAACAGCAGCCACACTGATGCTTTAAGAGAAAATCCTGCCCTGCTGGTGGAAAGATGGAAGCCACGTGCACTTCACGTTGGATGGAAATGGGGTGATGCATCTTCAAGGCCACCATTCATTGTGACCAGCTGGCTGGAAAGATTGATCACGCTGACATGAAACATACAAGAACAGGCCATGGGAAGCTGTCGAGCTGCTTGCAGCCTAATTTAGTATTGATTTAAGCAATTACAGCATAAAGTTTAACGTGGAATAATTCTGAAACAAATTAGTTTCACGGTTATTCAGTCACTCTGAGTAAAAGGAGAGGAATTTACAATATTTCACATTTATGGCTGGAAGAATGGAAACAAGACCATCCTCCTTGTTAAATGCACTATTTAGTATGGGCAGCTGCAATCTTCTCTTAGCATAATCTTTAAAGAACTGCATTTGTCTGAAGATATGGTGGTGTAAGATACTAGAAAACCTCTCATCTGAAAGCTAATTCAGGTCAAACACGTAGTGATAGTTATCACCAAGAAGTTATTATCACTCTGTGCGGTGGGAGCTGATAAATGCTTGAGTCGTGTTCACATCACAGCAGTGGCTCCTGCTGCAGGAGCTTCAGAAAGATGTTCAGGATAGGAAGGAGTGGGTGGTTGAACCATGAACCCGTCCATTGATGACACAAGGGAGAAAAAAGTAACACAGCTTAAGGAGAGAGGTGCAAGGATGACTCACAGCACACACCTTGTTTTCTTTACATCTGTGATCTGGGCATCCATGATCTCTGGGCAGCCTGGGCTGGTGGTTGGCAACCTTGCCTGAGGCAGGGGATTTGAAACTAGATGATCTTTGAGGTCCTTTTCAACCCAGGCCATTCTATGATTCTATGATGTGATGAGGGCAAAGATTCCAGGCTCCAGAACTGTCAGTGTAAGAATAGCCCTTCTCCTTTTAATGCAAAATCAATAAAATTATTTTAGGGAGCTATTTGGATGACTTGGTTCAAAGAGGCAGCCATTTTTCTTCTCTTGCACAAAATTACCCTTCTGTAATGCTGGGAACAGGCAGACCTTCTGACCGTGTAAACTCTGACCAAGAATAATTCCAGTTCATAATGATTTCCATCCATCATGAGAAATAAATTACAGGGGCTAGACAAGAAAATTCCAAGCCATTCTGTCTCTTCAACCCCCAATGAACTATAAGAAAATGCTTTGCTATTATGTAACACATTTTCATGGCTACCAACAAGTCACAACACACAGAAATACATTACTGCATTAAGAATCCAAAACAAATTGGTGAGGTTAACAACCTCCATGGTCCTGCTCCAAAGCTTGTGTGTTAATGCTACTGTAAAACATTTTCAGCTCTCAGTAAGGTCAGCTGCCTGTGCAGGCTGCGTTCAGGCTCTCACTCACTTCAATTCCCAGAAGAGGAAACAAAAGGAAGGCAAACAATACACAATGGAACACAATATACCTAATTATCTCCAGATCTCTCAACGTGAACCTCAAACAACATCCTCAGTGCAGCCCTGGAAACATGGAAGAGTAGAGTTCTGATTTTAATTGTAACTCAGAGTTTCACTCTTCAGATGCTTCTCCTGTTATGGAAGCCAGAACGACTCTAAAATTTACTTTTTTTCCTACCCTTTTCCAAAAAATCAAAGTTTGGAAGATTTCTGCATGTCTTGCAGATTTGGCCTATTTCTCTTCTCCAAGGTACTCACAATGCTGAGGAATTACTGGCAAATAACTGCAAAACAAGGGCACATTTTGTAGTTTCTTCCCACTCTCTGCTATTATTGCTCAACCGATGCACTCAAGTTCATCTATAAAACTCCTTCTGTTCTCATTAAAGTTGCTTTCAATACTCAGCTGTTGTTTCATAACCACCCCTGCTGTGGTTCTGCTATAACATCTCATACCTGATTGGCAGTGCCAAGGGAGGAGAAAACAACAAATGTCATCAACTTCGTCTTCTTAAGCTTAAAAGAGGGCTCAATGTGTGATACCCAGCCATAAAGCGCTCTTGGGGCCCTGCCCTGTTCTCAACTTAAGGTGTATGCTCAGTGAAACCATTTTTACGTTGGTAATTATTTACAAAGAGCTTTATTTCTCCACTCCTCAGTTTTGATAGCAGAGTTTCAGAGAAGGCTGTTAAAGCTCTGTCTTTGCAAGAATGTAGTCCAGAGATGCTGTGCTTCTCCAAAACTTTATTTGAACTCGTGGACATTTTCTAGATCACACATAGAAGGTTTTGCCACCCCCTTTTAAGGTGCTCGTTCCCTTCTAAGGGCTTCAAATCTAATTTTGCTTTGCCACTGTAAAAAACATCCCATACCCAAGCCCAAAGCACCCAGACAGGTGCTGCTTTAGTAACCATTAATACATGCAAAAAACGCAGCGACGTTCACCCAAATAACAATGAGAACAGTAAATGCAACTAGTATGCATCATTAAAATACACATACATTTTTAGAGATATAAACTAAGGTTGAAAGAAGCCATAAAAACGTTGGGAGATACACATTATTGCCTAAGAACTTTGCAAATATTATTCATTCCCAAAGAGACGATTTTATAGATAAGAGGGAATTATTTAAAAGGATTAAAAGAGCTTGACCCTAATCACAGCAAGAGTCTGTTAATTCATTCTTTTCAGTCCCATGCAACACGTATAATATCAGGATGTTTTTCTGAGGCTTCTGAACCGTCCCATTACCCATGTAGTTAGCATAAGACGTGTGTTTATTGCTATTATCACTTCTTCACATCAGAGCTTTAAAAAGCTGTTTCATAAGAGACTTCTCATAGAAATACTCTTAACTTCAAAGCCAAATCTCTCAAATCTCTCTTATCTGGCTGAGGTAGCAATACAGTTGCCTTGCTGCGACAGCACCACGTGAATCACAAACACACTGCACTAGGGAGGCAAAACATCTCAGACCTGCTCCTCCTCTGGAGTTTGCACATGTGTGTAGTCCAACTGTACCACCCTATGATCTGCAAGCACTCCCAGAACTCCCAAGGGAGACAAGCATCAAAACCCTTGAAAATTAGCTTTTGCAGTAGGGCTTTCATTTGTCATCACAGTGGCTTTAATAATTGGTATGGTCCTGAATGCTTCCAGGGAGGGGGCATCCACAACCTTGCTGGGCAACCCATTCCAGTGTCTCACCACCCTCACAGTAAAGAACTTCTCCCTGATATCTAGTCTAGATCTATACTCTTCCACTTTAAAGCCACTTCCCCTGGTCCTGTTGCTATTCACTCTTCTAAAAAGTCCCTCCCCAGCTTTCCTGTAGGCCCCCTTCAGGTACGACCCAGGACTTGATATCATCATTAGGTGGGCAGTAAGGGAAGCTGCTGGCAGCTCCCCTGGTTCCTACCTGCAGAAGAGGCCGCTGCACACCCAGGACCTTCATGGTATCTGCATTAGCCAACAACTTCAGGGGGTCAGACGCCTTTGTGACTCCTTCGATTTCTTTGTTGATCTCAGCCAGGACCTGATTGAGGAAGATGTTCTTGATGTACATGGTGAGGAACTCACGGAGAGGACACTGTTTGGTTGGACCAAGCTCCATGGCATGCTCTATCTCCTTGATGAATCTGGAAAACGAGAAACAAAGCTTTCAATGGAGATCAACCATACAGTTAAAAGCGTGATGGTTGCATTTGTGATTCCTACACCCAAAAGCCAAGCACCAGTAGTGGGGAAGACAAGACAGACTGTGACGCGAAGTGTGAAGAGTAGAAAAGGTTTATAGGGTGGCCTTCAAAAAAACATATAATGCCAACAGATGGTGAGACAGACTCGATGGCTGGAGAAGGACAACAGACAACATGGGGAACTGGTGAGAATCTACAAGCCAGGCACAATTTTTGTTTATCAGCCCCAAAAAAGACTGATTTTGCTCTACTTGATACATACTGGAAAGTCCTTTTCTTTTAAACAAAATCAGGATGTCAGAAATCACTCTGAGAAGGCAAACTTCTGGGGATGGTCACTTGATTCATACAGGTTAATTCCCCACCTCTAAAACAAACAGATGTATTTAACAGCTCAAAGTCTAGAGATACCATAAAATAATTTAAAAAAAAGCAATGGAATAAATGCCAATATCATACTGCATTATGCATATCTGTATTATGCTATATTTTTATTACGTGTTATTGTTTCATTCTAGGATCCATTTCTGTGCATGCAGAACGACATACCAATTCTGGGAATATTTTAGCACAGAATGTTTGCCATCTCCTGCAAAATATCTTCATCTCAGTGATGCCATCTGTTTACTAGATAGGAGTTTCTTCTAGAAACTACCTCGTCATTGCTTTCATTTACATTCGAGGCAACAAAATTAGTCTTCCTTTTAAATTTGTATATATTTACATAATTAGGTGTTGAATAGCAGGGTCATAATGGACTAAGATGTTCTATCCAAAAGAGAGAAATATGGATGGTATTTGCGTTGCCCTTCCAACACTGCGTGCAGTCTTTTGAATCTTAATTCCACTCCTGGATGAGCTGGAATTGTTTTTCTCTTTGTTTTATAGATCAGAAGTAGAAGCAAGTCTTTGAACCTGGATCCCCCAGCACACATAGCAGCCCAGCACACCACCATTTCTTCACTAAGAAATTTTTTTCTTTGGCAATTAATGCATATTTCAACAGTTCCATACTGGTCAGCATTTACAAAGGATGAATTTGCACTAACCATTTCTTCCCCACACACTTCAGTGAGGTCTGTTTCTGCAAACCCGTAACTTCCTACCTTCTCCTTCAGCACTCCAAGAGGAGGCAGCCTCCTATCAGAGCATCTGTCAATTTCAGTAGCATGATTTCCTTCAAATCCAAACATTTTCCTCCCTAATGCCCCTGCAGTGTCAACTCCATCACAGCAGAATGACACATTTGGGATGATGCAGTGGAGGGAACCATTTACACTGAGTTTGAAAAGTGCTTCTCCAAAGAGACATACTGCACAGGGAGAAGTGCAAAGGATGGCAGCTTTACTTCCCAGCTTTCATGGATCGATAGAGTGAATAGGCTTTATCAAAGAGGGAAACTGCAGAGTCATCTGGGAAGAGAGCACAGAAAACACCACCGAGCTTATCTCTGAAATAATAGATTTAATGTCACCAGTTCCAAGTGACAATCACTGATGCCCTTAAGAGAACGCTGTCAGGTTTGATGGAACCTCATTCAACTGACTGACTGACTGCATTTTTCCACGTCTGTCAACAAATCTGCAATGTTCTCCTGTTTTTTTAAAGCCTCATTTACACAGTGCTTGTGATGGGGTAGAACTCACTTAAAAAAAAAAAAAAAAAGTGAATTAGCTTTTATAATTCCTGCACCCTACAACTACATACCACTATCGCTCTTTCAGATGGGAAAGGGAAGACAAAGCAACTTGATCCTTTCAGTATATAAGGGAGGATGCTATGAGAAAGAGTGGGACAGACTCTTCAGCAGGGTCTGTTGTGACAGCACAAGGGGAAGTGGTTTAAAACTAAGAGAGGGGAGATTTAGACTGGGTATAAGGAAAAAGTTCTTTACAATAATGATGGAGAAGCACTGGAACAGGTTGCTCAGAGATGTGGTGGATTCCCCATCCCTGGAGACACACAAGGTCAGGACGGATGGGGCTCTGAGCACCTGATCTGACTGTATGTGGGTGTTCCTGTTCACTGCAAGGAGTTGGACTAGATGATCTTTAAGGTCTTTTCCAACTCAAATGAATCTATGAATCTCAGCTTTCAGTGAAATGAGGGGAACAGCTCTCAATTCTGTAACCCAGCACATGCTTAAACATGGCTGAACTAACAGAAACACAAGAAAACTTTCAGAAAGAGAATGGCCCATACAAACTAGAAGAGCTCAGATTTGCTGATCTACAATCAACCTCTTATCAGGCAGTGGTGTGATGCTGTTTCTAAGTGTTTCCCACAGCAGAGACTAAATTGCTTGTGTGAGGCCACAGGAAAGGTCAGTGCTAGCAAAAGGTGTAATCAAGAATGTTGGACTCCTTGTATCCAGCATTAATCACCATCTCAGGCCTCCCCTGAAGACCCGCGGTTCAATCTCCACCAAATTTCATCTTCATTGGAGAACTGAATTCTGGCGGTTCACGTGTTCTAACAGGCTTTAATTTCTTGGCATAAACAAGACAACAGCAGTTCACTTAATACCAGTAAGAATCCAAAAGATACCCTTATTTTACTTGATACAAACCATAAAGTAATCACAGATTAGGAGAAAGCTGCTAGATAGCAATGACTCTGTGAGAGGGATTTTATGAGCGCTCAGCAACACTTGTGATAAAGAACAAATGGTCAAGACCTTAAGAAAGCAGATTTAAACTTGATAGCAGAGAAAAGTTATTAAGAATGAAACTGTGTGTGGTGAGGAAGACAAGAGGATATGGATGAGCGACCTTAGGCTTGAGTGTTCAAAGATAGCTTGATTAAATGATAATGGTAATGAAAAACAGATTATTTCTGAAGTCTTCATTTAATCAAAGGATCTCTACTGAAGGAAATGGAAGTAGAGAAAAGGAGTATGGATGTCAGAGCTACTCTTACAGTAGGGAGCATAGGCTATATGCTATATGCTAAAGTTCAAGGTTGACTTGTCCTCACCATGTCTACACCAGGCAGAATTCCTAACTGCTGGAGGTCCCAGCATCTGCTCAGCAATTGTAGAATTCCAGGTAGCAGTTGTGCAGCTCAGCGTTCATCCCAGAAAGGGGAAAAGCCCTTTGAACACAGTGCCATGGTGGCTGAGCAAGCATTACAAGGCTTTAAGTGAAAATGCAGCAAGAATCCTCTGACCACATTACATTGCAGCACTGATACACTATACAGGTTCTGTATCAGCAGGAATACACAGAATGTCATTAGAAATAAATTAAACTAATAGAAACATAAATAATAAAACATTCATTTAATGCATGCCTTAGGAGAATTAAGAATGCAAAGTCAAACATTGAAGATTTGGGAAAGTAAGGATTGGAGTAGCTTGTGTCACCTTAATTTGCCTGCCATCCACAATGCCCTATTAACTACACAATAGCACTGTTGCTCTTTTCAGCAGATCCTGGTCTTGTCTGAGGACAAAGACTTGGTTCAAAACACCCTGCAAGGGAAGGAAGTCCTTAGCTTGGGAGCAGGCACCTTTCCAAGGTCCTTGTCCTTAGCTCAGTCCCCTTTATGGGCAGAACTGTGCCTACGAGGGGCTTCACCCATTACAAACCAGAAGCCTTTTACAAAGCTGTGTGCACTGCAGTTCTTCAAAGCTGTGTAACTGAGCCACATTTTTGGTGCACTTTCAGAGAAATGGCAAAAAGGCACAACCTTAACACAACAGTTCTTATTGAGAACTGTGAAGATGCAAATTCTCAGCCTGAATATCTTCCAAAGAAGAGGTCACTGGAATTTGCTAACACATGCAATGTATTTCTTCTTCTCCTCCTTAGAAAGAGTATTTTAGATAATTTTCTAAAAATAAATCTAGCCTCAGTTGGCAATTAAGTTTTATAAATGAGAAGCATTGGGTGGCATGAAAGACCTGACAGATATTCTCTATTTTTTGCTTTGAAGACACATTCGCAGTGACATGCTGTACTATTCATTTAATTCCTGGTTAACTTATTCTAACAAAAGTCAGTCTTTGTGCACAATAAATATATTTAACAGTCATCTAAGAGAAGTATTCTAAAAGTACCCTCAAAAAAATGTTCCCACTTTACTCATACCCACATAACTAGGAAGATGTCAGAAAAGCAATTTGACCCATGGCTGTTCCAGAGATCAACATTTATGTCTGTGTGTGAACCACCATACGTGAATAGAAACTGCATTTTGGCCAATGATAGAGTATGTAAAAGTAAGGACAGTGAAAACCTATAGGTAGATCTGGATACTTTATGCACACACGGTTCTTCAAATGGGTTTTGGACATACCTGTGTGTGCATAACCCCAATAATTCTAATTTTCACTGCTGTGGTGAAAGGCTGCATCACGTCGGCCTTTTATCCTGTACTTTTTACTCCCTAAAGAGGGAAATCTGAGATACAGCTCACTGTAAAAATAGGCCATAAAGAAAGCCTTGGAGCTTTGATTCACATCCCATCCGCTTTGATTATTCTACTAGAAGAAGAATCATTCAGTTGTAATTTAGTAGGGTTCCTGAAACAGTATCAACAACCCCATTTAAAATCATCACTTACTGACCCAGGAAAACTTAAGAAAAAGCCTATAAAGGTTAACATACTGTGGGGTACAAGCTCCAAATGTGTGAGAATGAGCCCCATTTGGGATAGAAAATTCCCCTAATGCAGAGCAATTACACATATATATCGTAACTGTCGCAGATTTCAAACCTATAAAATGGGAAGATGCTTTTCCTGGACAAAAACACAGCCTGAGGTGCATCACCAGAGGTTGGATAATAACCACTCTGAAGATGGCCATGATAACTATCTTGGTTCCTAACAAAGGTTGTTGGGATGTCCCAAAGAATGCTTTTGCAAAGATGTCTTGCTAGGATGGAGCAGTTGAAGAGAGCACACAAGGAAAAAAAATATATATAAACCTGCATCTC